AGAGAGAGAGAGAAAGAAAGAGAGAGAGAATATGGAGGCTGGGCAGTGGCTCACACCTGTAATCCCAGCAGTTTGGGAAGCCAAGGCAGGTGGATCACCTGAGATCAGGAGTTCAAGACCAACCTGGCCAACATTGCATAACCGTGTCTCTTCTGAAAATACAAAAAATTAGCCACGTATGGTGGCACATGCCTGTAATCCCAGCTACTCGGGAGGCTGAGGCAAGAGAATCACTTGAACCTGGGAGGTGGGGGCTGCAGTGAGCTGAGATCACACCATTGTACTCCAGCCTGGGCAACAGAGCAAGACTCTGTCCCCACCGCCCCCCAAAAAAAGAAAAAAATAGAACACAGAGAGAGTGTGGCAAAGGGTAACACAGAGTCAAATACTGAAGGGTTGAAAACAGGCCCAATAAGTATTTTTTTAAGCTTAGAGAAGGATGACTAACTTTACCTCCTGAGGTAAAAATGAAAAAGAAATAGGTCAGCACTATTGAAGGTGTGAGTGAGGAAGGATTTCCTCTCAGTGACATGAGATTAAAGAAATGGGCATTTTCTTCCCTGAGGTCTTCAAGGTCTGGCCTCACCTTGGCTTTCACTGCGGCGGCAGCCAGGGCGGCAGCGGCGGCGGTGGAGAGGTTGCCCTCGCCAATGTCCCGCTCCACCTTTGTCTTCCTTTCCCCCTCAGACTCCACCACTTCCTTCAGCACTTCCTCCTGCCCTTCTTTTGGCTCCTTCTCCTTCTCAGGATCAACTGGGCCAGGACAAGTGTTGAGTTAGCCCCACAGCTTCACCTCTTTCCTGCACCCCACCTACCATTCTGGGAGGCTCACCTATTGGGTCTCCATCACTCTTCTCGGACTCCTTCTCGCTGTCGCCTTCTTTCCCTTTCTCTTCATCCTTCTTGGGAGCCTCACTGGTTTTCTCCTTTGCTTCCTCCTCTATAGCACCCCCTCCTTCTCGGGGTTCCTGAAATTCCAGTGATAGAAAAGGAGAGTTGTCACGGATTGGGGTGATTAGTTCTCACACAGAGGGGCCAGATGGGGAACTGAATTTATTCCTCTTACTTCGGAGGTGATCTGATTCTATGAGACAACCCCGTCCAAAACCAGCCCTTGCCCACCTAAGCTGAAAAAGGCCAACTCCCCCATCACCACAGTGCTGCACGCAGCCCCTGCAGCTCCCAGCAATCCCTCTATACCTTGGGCTCCTTCTTCTCATCTGTGGCCTGGCCTTCCACCCGAGCCTCGTCATTCCCACTCTCCTCTGGGCCCATGGGAAAAGAAAGGAAAACAGGAAATGTCTAATACAGTCATCTGTCTGTAATACTTTTCGTTTTTTCAGAGACAGGGTCTTCCTATGTTACCCAGGTTGGTCTCAAACTCTTGGGCCCACGCAATCCTCCCACCTCAGCCTCCTGAGCAGCTTGGACTACAGGTGTGAGCTGCTGCACCCAGCCTCTCCACAACACCCTTTTTTTTTGAGACAGGGTCTCACTCTGTCACCCAAGCTGGAGTGCAGTGGCACAATCATGGCTCACTGCAGCCTTGATTTCCCGGGCTCAAATGATTCACCTCATCCCCAGCCTCCTGTGTACCTGGGGTTACAGGCACATGCCACCATGCCTGGCTAATTTTTTTGGTATTTTTTGTAGAGATGGGATTCTCCCATGTAGCTCAGGCTGATTGGTCTCAAACTCCTGGGCACATCAGCCTCCCAAAGTGTTGGGATTATAGGCGTGAGCCACTGAGCCCAGCCTTCCCAAGACTTGACTTTTGTCTCTCTCTCTCTCTCTTTTTTTTAATAGAGATGGGGTTTCACCATGCTAGCCAGGCTGGTCTCAGACTCCTGACCTTAGGTGATCTGCCTGCCTCAGCCTCCCAAAGTACTGGGTTTAACCACTGCGTCCAGCATTCCCAAGACTTTTCTGCCAGCCCTTTCTACCAGCCAAGATTTTTCTACCCAAAGTCTTCATGAAAGGACCAGTAGGGGTCCAGAGCCCCTAAGGTAAAGTCATGGGGAAAATAAAAACCCTACCGATTTTCTCATTCATGTTGTGCTCTGATGCCAACTTGAGGCAGGAATGGCTCAGGAGGCCAGATGGCTCTGGCTCTTGTGAAAGGCAAGAAATCTGGGAACCTGCCTGGCCTTACCAATCCGCTCAGGCTCATCAGAGGTGGTTCCTGCAATGCCACTGCTTTCCAGACCAAAGGCGGGGTCCGCCTTGCCTGTTACTTTGGCTGCTTCTTCCACTTTCCGAACATGGGCCTCCACCAAGGCCGTGGGTACCTCTTCCTTCATTTTGGAGAACTCCTCTGCAAGATCCAGAAAGTATGAGGCTGGGAGCAGCGCAGGGGGACAGTTCTGGCAATCCCTGCAAAAGCTTATTCACAAGCCCATGTCTTCATCTAAGACCAGTATAGAGAGCCTAGACAGGTACCTGAACTGAGGCCTGCACAGACAAGGCCAGCAGGGTAGCCAAACTTGAGAGGTTTCACAGACTAACTAGCCTTTCAAAAGCAAACTAAGAAGGCCAGGTGGAACCGCCCACCCCTCATTACCTAGGGCTGACTTTGCAGCAGCAGAGGCGACTCGGGGATCGACGACAGAGGCCAGGAAGGCAACAGTGCTCATAACAGGGTTGCCCGACTGACTGAAGGGGATGGGTTGGTAGGCCAGGGGGCCTAGGGAGGCCTCTGAGTCCTCCAGGTATGGGTCTTCAATGGGAAGACGAAGAAAATGCAAGATGCACTCGTCCTGTGTGCGGCTTCCCACATGCTCGGACACTTTGTTCCAGTCATCTTTGTACATTTCCAGTGCCTGGTGGTAGTGGTGGAGACATAACTCCGCTTACTTAGCCACTTTTCTTGAAGGCCGACTCCCCCCATCCTACTAAGGGCAGCTGGTTTCAAAGCTCTCTATGTTCTGGTATTTGTGTACTCTGCTAGGTCCAAGGGGGATCTTGAAATAGCACTAAGAAAGGATATGAAGTTAATGAAATGGCCCAAATCCCAAGCCTGGAGCTGGTTCCTGGGGCAGGTCCAACAGGCATGAGGAAGGGGAAAGACTGAAGGCAAGATCATGTTCTGCTCATGCCAGGCTCCACGATCTCTCCTCACTCATAAGTGTGGCCAGCACCTTCAACATGTCTGTTTTCTTTTTTTTTTTTTGAGACAGGGTCTTGTCTCACTCTGTCACCCATGCTGGAGTGCAGTGATGTGATCATTGCTCACTGCAGCCTTGACCTCCTGGGCTCAAGCAATCCGCCCACTTAGCCTCCTGAGTAGCTGGGACCATAGGTCTGTGCCACCACACCTGACTAATTTTTAAAATTTTTCGTAGAGACAGAGTCTCACTATGTTGCCCAGGCTGGCCTTGAACTCCTGGGCTCATGCGATCCTCCTGCCTTGGCCTCCCAAAGTGTTGGGATTATAGGCGTGAGCCTCTACACGAAGCCCACTTCTGTTTTCAGAGAAGAGAACTCTCTTTTCCTTGCCCCATTTACCTCCAGGAGAAGCAGGGTTTCCTGTTCTGTCCACTCACGAGTGGCACTGGCTGCAGCTTTGCTCTGCAGGGCAAACACAGGCAGGTCAGGAGAGAGGAGCCTGTGATCTCAGAGGAGTGAACATTCTCTACCCCTAAAGTCGGCTCGCACATCCTACCTTGGAGGGGACATTCTTTTTTGTGTACATGTCTGTGCGCAGCCCAAAGTTTTGCATGTCTGTTGGTTTCTCTTTGCCTTTGTCAGGAAAGTTGAGCATTTGTTGGGAAGCAGAGGTCTGCTATTTGTGGAGGGAAAGAAAGAGATAAGTACAAGTGACCAGTGGGAGCCAGGGCCTGACAGAGAGAAAAAACAGACAGAAGGAGCTTCTTTCCCAAAGCCAGGGACACCCCTGGGTGGGACTTCCTCCCTTACTGCTGTAGTTCCTCTGCTCTCATGTCTCTTCTTCCCAGGCAGGGGCCCCCCAATAAAGGGGCAAATGAGCAGCCCAGCGGGGTCTGCACCCCACCTACCAGCTCTGGCTTGCCCTTAGCCGTCTCTGGCACCAGGTCATCCAGCTCTTTGCCCTTTCGCCCAGCCTTGGTATCAGCATCAACCTGGCGGCCCTGGGGGACAGAGCTTGGCGTCATGGAGGCTGGGCAGGAAATGACCAGGCCAAGGCCCTGGAAGCCTCAAGACCAAATGCTGGGTGGCCCGCAAGCTCTGGGGGCACTCATGCCACTGTTCCATGTTCCCTTCATGATTAATAAGACATGTCGTTGGCATGATATCCATTTATATTCACATTATCTTTACAGGTTCTCTTAGGAGCTGGACAATTAGGTTCTAATCCTAGATTTGGTACTCTGTGACCTTGGGCAAGCCACATAATCTTCCTCCTAATTTTTGTAATGGATGAAGTGGAAATGAAAAAAAAATGAGGGTGATAATTATGAGGCAAAAATGAAAAAATGTGGGAAAGATGACAAAGTTTAAAAATTTCATGCAAGTTAATTTTAAGCCATTTTTCTCTATCTATTGAATCCCCTACATTAGCCTGTCTGCTCCTTGAGTAAAAGGATCATCTCTTCTCCCTCTGCAATTACAGCCTTAGGTACAAAGGCTAAGAGAGGGTGCTAAACACATGGGGCTGATTCTGGTGGCCCTTTGTATCCCATGGAAAAGGAAGAAGCCTCAAAACACTCCTGAACCATTACCCTCAAAACCAGAAAAAGAAAAGTCCAAAGAAGCCCAATCTTCCCAACCCACCCTGTCCCCATAGAACCTCACCCTACCTGCGGGGTCTTGGGCTGCAGAGGCACCAGCCCTGATGGTGTGTCAGCCAAGACATGGAAGTGAGAGGTAGGCGGAGGCCCCATTGGGGTTGGTCGACTCTCAGCATCCACCTGATAGTTAATAAGACCCCATTGTTCTAGGAAGGCATGGACTCTGTGTGGAGAGGGCAGAGACAGGGTTACACGGACAGTCACAAAGCTGCATTAGGAGGAAAACTGAGGGTAGAATTTGGGACATAAACTCCCTCCCCACCCAACCCTGGCCCTTTCTTCTGTTCATTGTACACCTTAGAAAAGCTCACTTACTCCAATTGTTCATCTACCACCTAAATGCCAGTGACACCCACATCTACATCTATAGCCTGGGCCAATCTCTATATTCACCTACCTACTGGACATTTCTTTCTGAATAGCTAATAAAACTGAACGAGTTTTTCTTTCTTTCTTTTTTCCCTGAGACAGGCTGAAGTGCAGTGGTGTGATAACCGTTCACTAAAGCCTCCACCTCCAGGGCTCAGGTGATCCTCCCACCTCAGTCTCCTGAGTCACTAAGACCACAGGCACATGCCACCACACCTAGCTAATTTTTTGCATTTTCTGTAGAGATGGGGTTTCACCATTTTCACCAGGCTGGTCTCAAACTTCTCCCACCTTGATCTCCCAAAGTGTTTGGATTACAGGAGTGAGCCACTATGCCTGGCCTGAATCAGTATCTTTCAATTACAGATGTGCTCCTTCTCTGACCATTTTTTTTTTTTTTTTTTTTTTTTTNAGAGTCTCACACTGTCACCCAGGCTGTAAGTGCAGTGGCACGATCTCGGCTCACTGCAATCTCCACCTCCTGGGTTCAAGCAATTCTCCTGCCTCAGCCTCCAGAGTAGCTGGAACTACAGGCGTGTGCTACCATGCCCAGCTAATTTTTTTGTATTTTTAGTAGAGATGGGGTTTCACCATGTTGGCCAGGATGGTCTCGATCTCCTGATCTCGTGATCCGCTCGCCTCAGCCTCCCAAAGTGCTGGTATTACAGGCGTGAATCACCACGGCTGGCCTCTTTGTCCTTTATTATACCCTTCAGAGAATGCCACTGCTAATCTCTCAAGTCATTCATTCCCCAAACCCGTACTTCACCTTTCTCTAGAGGTGTTTTTTCTGCCTGTTCCTGTATGTTCCTTACTGGCATCTCTACTACTGCCAAAACAAATCCACAGGCAGACATTCTCATGTACCCCCTTGTCCTCAGCCACAAGACCCACCTCATGATGGCACAGACATCACCTGCCAGGTTTCGGCGGCAGGCAGTAGAGGTAAGATATTCTTGGGGGTTCAGTCGGTAAGTGTCAATCATAAAGTTTCGATAGGCCAGGTAGCTTAGAAGAAAGAGAGGAACAATAAGAAGAAAAATAAGTGTTTGTTAAAGGGCTAAAGAGTAGGAAAAAATGGTAAGAGAGCTAATGACTTCTCCTGCATGACAAAGATAGAAAAAAGTAGATTATACGACTCAATATGCCTAGTGCCTGCTATATGCTAGATGTAAGGATTTCAAATATGTCTTACTTTTCCTTGATGGGATTTTCTTTAGTTAAATGGATTATCTCCTTGGCTATACTTAGGGATATTTCATACAATTTTTGTTTTGAGATCGAGTTTTGCTTTTGTTGCCCAGGCTGGAATGCAATGGTGTGATCTTGGCTCACTGCAACCTCCGCTTTCCAGCTTCAAGAGATTCTTCTGCCTCAGCCTCCCAAGTAGCTGGGATTATAGGCATGCGCCACCATACTTGGCTAATTTTGTATCTTTAGTAGAGATAGGGTTTCTCCATGTTGGTCAGCTTGTCTTTAACTCCCGACCTCAGGTGATCCACCTGCCTTGGTCTCCCAAAGTGCTAGGATGATTACAGGACGTAGGCCACCACGCCCGGCCACTTTATACAATTTTTATTTAAAAAAAAAAATTTTTTTTTGAGACAGAGTCTCACTCTATCACTCCGGCTACGGTGCAGTGGTACAGTCTCGGCTCCCTGTAACCTTCATCTCCCAGGTTCAAGTGATTCTCCTGCCTCAGCCTCCTAAGTAGCTGGAACTACAGGCGCCTGCCACCTGGCTAATTCTTTTTGTCTTTTTAGTAGAGATGGGTTTCGCCATATTAGCGAAACTGGTCTCAAACTCAAGGACTTGTGATCCACCTGCCTTAGCCTCCCAAAGTGCTGGGATTACAGGCATAAACCACTGCGCCTGGCCTATGTAATTTTTAAACAAGGAATTAGAAGTTAAGGCCCGGCGCGGTGGCTCAAGCCTGTAATCCCAGCACTTTGGGAGGCCGAGGCGGGTGGATCACGAGGTCAAGAGATCGAGACCATCCTGGTCAACATGGTGAAACCCCGTCTCTACAAAAA